TATGTTTTGACTAATACATGATGATAAAAAATTTGCCGGGAAACCGCCTACTAATTCATATATTTGGTAAATTTGTTTCTCTCATGGTCTGTGAGAGATATAGGGTAGTCCCATATAGATCTTTCTGTGTATAGTGCTTGTAACTTTACGAAGAATGGGCCAAATTTCTTATCATTTTGATGATTCCAGAACCTTGCAGATGCTAGATGCTAGATGATCAACCTGTTCTGATCGATTCCACAACGTTTCTTTCACAATGCAATCGCATGACCATAACTGGTCTTTACCTTTAAGGTGAATGACTGGGTAGTGTGAGTGAAAACTTTGTAGCCCTGGGACAGGGGAGCGGAATTGGTGTTGTTTTTTTATTTGTATTAATGGTGGACTATTTCTAACGAATAGGGATTCATTTGAGAGCTCCGACAAGGGATTTTCTTACTTTTTGGGTGCGACCAAAACTTAGGAAAGCCAGACCTTTCCCTCTGTGTCATATGCTTGATTATTTTTGAAAAAATTTTATGCTGTGGGATTGGGAGCTTTTTATTTCTTTTATTTTTCCTTTGGGGTGGGAGGAGCCGTTTTGTGTTTTTCGTTGTTTGTGTATTTTTTCAGTGTGTTGTAAAAAAAAAAATCTAGAGGTTCAATGAATGTACAAGTAAGATTTCACGTACGAAAGGTGTGTACGTTTGTAGAAACTGCACAGGTGTTGCCTATTTGTATATCATTTGTTTTTCCACTAGACTAGTACTAGTGGTGATTATTTGCATATTACTAATGCCTCGGGTTTTCTCGGGGTTTCTGCTCCACTGTATAATGAACGTTTTACATGCCTTGGGCTTGAATAATTTGCATACTTTTTATGTAGTAAACAACCTTTGTAAATCTAGTTTCCTCTGTATTGTTAAGATCCAGGTGTATTGGTTAGGGTAAATATGGGGTCATGGCCCTCGAGAATACATGTATATGTACATAATGTACTAGCTTGTTTTTGTAGTGTTTATTGTGGGGCATATGAGAATACCTCTTTAGTCAGTATGTAATAATAATAATAATAATAATAATAATAGTGGCTACTTGTATAGCGCACAGGTCCACCTTTCAGTGCTTAGAGAAAAGTACATGTAACAGACATAAGAAAGAAAAAAACAATAAAACGAAAAACAAATTCGAAATTATCCTAGACAAAGTAAATTAGAATATTGCAACAACAGGTTAAGGCGTCAGTGGACGAGAAAAATAGAAAAAGTCGCTGTATAATTTCCCGAATAATATATGTGGACAAATATTTTATCTATGATGACTGATCAACAATTTAAATTATCCATTGCGTCAATGAATTACCATGGCTTAGCTACGCTTGATAAGCGTAGTTTTTTTTTGCATTATCTCAGAAATAAAAAAATATTCAATTTACTGTCTCCAAGATGTTCACTTTTCAAAAGAAGTTGAAACTATTGTGGAAGCAGAATGGGGGTTGGAATGTTATTCTAATTCATTTATAACCAATTGAAGCGGGTTGCGATTTTGTTTACTAACAATTTTACTTTTAAAGTGCATGGTTGTAAAATGGACGAATTAGGAAATAGGCTTGCTTTGGATATTGAAATTGACGATATTAGAATTACCCTTATTAATATTTATGGTCCTAATAATGACTCCCCAAGTTTTTATGATGATCTCAAGGATGAAATGAAAAGCCTCTCACTATTATATGTGGTGATTGGAATTTGATTTTAGAGAACAAGTTGGACTGTGTGAATTATGTGAAGGTAAATAATCATAATCCTCGTAAAAAGTTGATTGAGGTGTGTAAAGAGTTAGATCTTGTTGATGTAAGGCGCATTCATAATACTGGTTGCCGTAGATATACATGGAGACAGCATGATACACTCAAACAGTCTAGACTTTATTTCTTTTTGATCTCATCTGAGCTGAATGCCAACTTTTTTAGCTGTGACATCAAACCAGGGTACCGCTCCGATTACTCCTTTGTTGATATTTCATTTGATTTCCCACAAATGGAGCATGGCAAAGGTTTTTGAAAATTTAACAATGCCCTTTTAAAAGATAAAAAGTATGCGAATTTGGTGAAAGACACTATAGGGACAGTGATTGATCAATACAACTTCAGGTCACTTCAGGTCAGTACCACGTCCTCTCACACCCTAACGTTTTGCGGTTTACTATCAACGATCAATTTTTGTTTGAGATGATTTTAATGAAAATCAGGGCCACAACGATCTCATACGCCTCGTATAAAAAGTAGGAGGATAAAGTTGAACTTGACCTGGAGAAGGAGATCAGGGTCCTGACAGATTTGATCGCCAAGGGTGACAATTCTATTGCCGATTTACTCCACCAAAAAAAAAGAGGGCGAGTTAGTCAATATCCGTAAGAACAAAATGGAAGGTGTGCTCGTGAGGTATACAACTCGTTGGATGGAGGAAGGGGAAAAGCCTTCTAAGTATTTTTGTTTATATGGAGAAGAGAAATATGGTGAATAAAACAATTGGTAGTATTGTAAAGGAAAGTGACAATGCCAGTTTAACAAGTTCAAAGAAAAATCTTGAGGAAACTCGAAATTATTATAGAAATCTGTATTCCCAAAGAGAGATAAAGGAAAATGTAGATATTAAAGCCATGAAAGAAATCAGGCACACCCACTTTGTTATAGATTTAGATGGGTTTACTTATGAATGTTATAGTTTTTCTTTTCAGATTTTACTACGGTCATTGAATCATTCATATGAATGTGGACAGTTATCTGTTACCCAAGGGTGAGTGTCATCACTCTCTCGCCTAAAGAAGATTAGCCCAGGGACTTTTTTAAATTGGAGACCCATATCGCTCTTGAAGGTTTCAAATAACTTGCCTCAGCTTGTATTGCGGAAATAATTAAATCATGTTTACCCAGTATTATTCAAGAACAACAGAACGATTTTATGTCAGGACGATTCATAGGTGAAAACAAGCATGACAATATTCCAGGTTTATTTTTGTCGATTGATTTTCAGAAGGCGTATGTTTCTGTTTCCCATCATTTTCTTAACAAAGTTATTCGCAATTTCAATTTTGGTCCCCCAGTACAAAAAAAGATTAAATTATTTTATAGTCAAGCTAAAGCATTGGTATTGGTAAATGTTTTTTTTTTTTTTTTTTTTTTTTTTTTTTAATATCAGAAGCATTTGAAATGGGAAGAGGTTGCCGACAAGGTGATGGACTGAGCCCCTACCTATTGTTGTTATGTGCTGAGGTGTTGAATATGATGGTCAGAAATAACCAACATATTAAGGGTATCAAAGTTATTAATATTGAATATTGTCTGTCACAATATGCTCACGACACCGTTATCTTTCTCGATGGTTCAGTAGATTCTATGAATGCAAACTTTAATGTCCTTGAAAGTTTTGCCAAAATATCAGGTTTAAAAGTGAATATTGAAAAAACAAAGAAGAAGAGACATTAATTCACTTGTTCTGTTTATGTCCGATAATTGTAATGTTTTGGAACAAAGTAGCTCAATGTTGAGGGAGCTTTTAAGTATCCATATACAAATTGATGAGGAGTTGTGTTTATTTGGAGTCAGATCTCTCACATTTAGTGCTTTGAACACTATCACTTTAATTTCTCGTTTTCATATCTACAAAATGTAAATGAATATTAAAAAATCCAAATTTTTATCTTTTCAAAGAAGAGGTTAAGAGGTATTTTGATCAAGAAAGGTTCACCTTAAGTTTATCATAAAAAAAAATAAGTGTGATAAATTAGATATGACATGGGCATCGTATTTGGATTATTTTATGCAATAGGCTTCACCTGTGCTTCTTTATATTTTGTATAAATTGAATATCTTTTCTGTGTAAAACTGATGTAGTGACATTGCAAATTGATATTAAACTAATAATTTATTTATTTTCCTCTGGAAAAAAAGAAAGAGAGAAAAAAGTGAAAATTAATAGAACTGTGCATATATTTGGTGATGAATATAAGAATGCAATGTGAAATTATTACTACTAGAAAAAAAATATGATGTCATCCTTAACTGAAAAGACCCTTTCTCTCTGTCTGATTGTCATCTCCTACTTTCTTCTCTTTACGATTCCCACCTCTTCCTTTTCTCCTCTTTCTCATTCTCACCTCTTCCCTTTTTTGTATTGCTCTTGTATGTTTGTGACTGTGGGTGTGTACATACACATGGTTGGTACCTGCTGTAGTAAATGTTTTTTTCCCCTTCTAAATATAAATATATATATACCTTTTAAGTTTTATTTCTTGCATTTCAATTGAATATTATGTTTACCTAGATAGGGGCCTCATTTACCAAGCACAAAGTGATTTTTATAGGTCCTGGCCTGTTTAATATTTATTTTGTATTTATGATTTTAAATTTTCTTTTCATGCCAAAACATTGAATTGAATTGGGTTGAGTTTAAATCTATGCATGTGAAGATTCAGTTGAGATATAAATGTGTATAAGATTTACGTTGTTTTGATCAATATTCAATATCGAACCATTTTCCGAGTTAAATTAATAAGAAAAATATGTCATATAGCTTTTTAAGGACCAATTTAAAAAAGCAAATGTATATTTATGGGTATTATTAATTTCAGTTTAAGTTCGATTAGGACACAATACAAACAGGTTGGAAGACCTGTAAAGAATATTTATATAATTGAAGAAAAAAATCACTCTTAATAAATCATCCTCTCCATAGAAACTTTAATGTGTTCTTTTTCAGAATAAACAAATATTGAATTTTAAAAATAAAAACTATTTAATCATTTTTGTTGAGAATTCTATCTTAAATGCAACTATGTAATAAATGGAATTTGTGTGAAATGGAAAAATACAGTCATAAATTAGTAAATAAAATATATGCGTGTAAAGACGTGCTGCTTAACTATATTCACAAACAACACATGTACAGACTCTCGAGCTTGATGATCACCAGTGTCCCACACCAGCCACATCACATCACCTAGCAGAAGCACTGTGTTCTATGCCAAACCTGACTCACCTGGCACTCAAGGGAGGGGATCTCACTGAGGAGTTCTACTCTACATTGAAAGCAAAGGCACCATTCATACAGGTATATGTGTCCAAATGTCAATGTCATGGAGAGGGTCATTGATAGACAGAAAGAGCAGTAATGGTTATATGGTGCACATGTATATCAGTTTTTTCTCCAAACACCCTGTTTTAAAGGTCATTCACTTGGTATCTTGGAATAGTCATATGACAGCAAAGTACACGTACTGATTCAGTTGAAATTCAAGTGTGTATAAGATTGATTTTGTTTTGACCAATAATCAATAACCAACATTTACCGAGTTTGATTGATATGAAAAATATTTCATATAATTTTTTAAGAGCAAATTTTAATGAAGGTTTGAATTTACCAAACTGAATCATAGCAACAAACCTCCTGACTTAGAGGTCTTCTGCACATGAAATCGAGAGTTATGAATACCTTTAATACATTAATAGCAAGTGCATCTTTCTGGGTATTATTAATTCCAGTGTTAGTAGGAATATGACTTATAAAGAATACATGAAGAATTTTAAAAAATCACTGTTAGTAAATTATCTTCTCGATAGACACTTTAATGTGTTCTTTTTTTCTAGATAGACGGGAATTGAATTTGAAAATGAAAACTATTTAATCATTTGTTTAGAATGTTATCTTGAATGCAAGTATGTAACTATTGGAATTTGTGTAAAATGTAAGAAGACAGTGTGAAATTAGTAAATAAGATATATCTATTCAAGACGTACTTGTTAATTATATTCACCATGAATGCAGGTCCAGACTCTCGACCTGACTAAACACCAGTGTCCCACACCCGCCTCGTCACATCACCTATCAGAGGCATTGTGTTCTATGCCACACTTGACTGACTTGACACTCGATGGAGGGGATTTACGTGAGGAGTTCTACTCTACATGGAAAGCAAACGCACCATCCATGAAGGTATGTGTGTACTAATGTAACTGCATATGGTGTCGGTCATTGGTAGACAGAAAGATCAGTAATGGTTATATGCCATGGTGCACATGTATATACGTTGCATTTTCCAAACACTCTTTATAAAGGCCATTTACTTGGTATATTGAAATAGCCATGAATAATGAAATTAAAGCAAACTACGCATGTACTGATTACATTGAAATTTAAGTGTGTATAAGTTTGACATTTTTTCGACCACTAAACAATATCCAACCTTTTCCTAGTTTGATTGATATGAAAAATATTTCATAGATTGTTTTGAGGAGCCAATTTTAATGTAGGCTTGAACTTACCAAACTGTACCATAGGAACAAATCTCCTGATTTAGGGGGTGTTGTTCACATGAAATCAAGAGTTATGAGAACCTTCAAGGCATTAATAGCAAATGCATATTTCTGGGTATTATTAATTTCAGTGTAAGTAGGAATATGACTTATAAATGCAAACAGATTGTAATCCCTCTAAAGAATACATATATAATTTAAAACAATCACTCTTAGTATTTAGGGCGTCTTGTGCACATAAAATCGAGAGTTATAAAAACCTTTAATGCATTAACAGCAAATGCATATTTCTGGGTATTTTTAATTTCAGTGTAAGTAGGAATATGACCTATAAATGCAAACAGATTGCAATCCCTCTAAAGAGTACATATATAATTTAAAACAATCGTTCTTTATTATCATGTCGATAGACACATTAATGTGTTCTTTTTTCTGAATAGACAAGAATTGAATTTGAAAATAAAAACTATTTCATCATTTGTTTAGAATGTTATCTTGAATGCAAGTATGTAATTAATGGAATTTGTGTAAAATGTAAGAAGACAGTGTGAAATGAGTAAATAAGATGTATCTATTCAAGACGTACTGGTTAACTATATTCACCATGAATGCAGGTCCAGACTCTCAACCTGACTAATCACGAGGTTCCCACACCAGCCTCATCACATCACCTATCAGAGGCACTGTGTTCTATGCCACACTTGACTGACTTGAGACTCTATGAAGGGGATTTACGTGAGGAGTTCTACTCTACATTGAAAGCAAAGGCATCATCCATAAAGGTATGTGTGTACTAATGTATCTGCATATAGTGACGGTCATTGGTAGACAGAAAGATCAGTAATGGTTATATTGCATGGTGCACATGTATATAAGTTGCATTTTCCAAACACTCTTTTTAAAGGCCATTTACTTGGTATTGGAATAGCCATGAATAATGAAATGAAAGCAAACTACACATGTACTGATTACATTGAAATTTAAGTGTGTATAAGTTTGACATTTTTTCGACCACTAAACATAATCCAACCTTTTCCTACTTTGATTGATATGAAAAATATTTCATAGATTGTTTTGAGGAGCCAATTTTAATGTAGGCTTGAACTTACCAAACTGTACCATAGGAACAAATCTCCTGATTTAGGGGGTGTTGTTCACATGAAATCAAGAGTTATGAGAACCTTCAAGGCATTAATAGCAAATGCATATTTCTGGGTATTTTTAATTTCAGTGTAAGTAGGAATATGAGTTATGAATGCAAACAGATTGCAATCCCTTTAAAGAGTACATATAGAATTTAAAACAATCGTTCTTTATTATCCTGTCGATAGACAATTTAATGTGTTCTTTTTTCTTAATAGACAAGAATTGAATTTGAAAATGAAAACTATTTCATCATTTGTTTAGAATGTTATCTTGAATGCAAGTATGTAACTATTGGAATTTGTGTAAAATGTAAGAAGACAGTGTGAAATTAGTAAATAAGATATATCTACTCAAGACGTGCTGATTAACTATATTCACCATGAATGCAGGTCCAGACTCTCAACCTGACTAATCACGAGGTTCCCACACCAGCCTCATCACATCACCTATCAGAGGCACTGTGTTCCATGCCACACTTGACTGACTTGAGACTCTATGAAGGGGATTTACGTGAGGAGTTCTACTCTACATTGAAAGCAAAGGCATCATCCATAAAGGTATGTGTGTACTAATGTATCTGCATATAGTGACGGTCATTGGTAGACAGAAAGATCAGTAATGGTTATATTGCATGGTGCACATGTATATAAGTTGCATTTTCCAAACACTCTTTTTAAAGGCCATTTACTTGGTATATTGGAATAGCCATGAATAATGAAATGAAAGCAAACTACACATGTACTGATTACATTAAAATTAAAGTGTGTATAAGTTTGACATTTTTTCGACCACTAAACATTATCCAACCTTTTCCTACTTTGATTGATATGAAAAATATGAATCCCGGACAACTCGCCACAGAGACAACCCACCCCAAGACAACCCGCCACAATACCCTGGACATCCCGCCACAATACCCTGGACAACCCGCCACAATACCCTGGACAACTCGCCACAGCCTTTTCGGACAACTCGCCACACTTTTTTCCCCTCATGATTTCTAGATCTAAAATCCCTCATCTTAGATGAAATTGTCATTTTTCATGATTTTCGTGCTTTTATAAACACAGTTATGACAGGAAACATGGAAATTGTGAGTATTTTGAGAGCTGTTCTAAAGAATAAAGATGATTTTCCTTGCGCTTGCAACAAGAATCTATTTTGGACGAACCCAAGCCAGGCGTACTACGACTACGAGTTACGACTACGATTTTTAAGTTCATGTCTCAGGAAACTTTTTGATGGTAGGAATATGCTGCTATGTATCTTTGGCGTATCTTTACATTCTAATATCACCTCCCCCCCCCCCATCAGTACGCCAGTGCTTCCAGGATCCTACCATAAAAAAATTCTGGGACAGAAAAATGCAGCTGTTATAGACCTCTGGATCAAAAGTATATTATTGTTACAAGGGAAATCAACTTTATTCTTTTTAATGACTGTTTATAAAAGCACGAAAATCATGAAAAATGACAATTTCATTTCAATATACATTATTGTTACAATTAGGGAAATCAACTTTATTCTTTATTCTTTGTAATGACTGTGTTTATAAAAGCACGAAAATCATGAAAAATGACAATTTCATTTCATTTTAGATCTAGAAATCATGATGGGAAAAAGTGTGGCGAGTTGTCCGAAAAGGCTGTGGCGAGTTGTCCAGGGTATTGTGGCGGGTTGTCCAGGGTATTGTGGCGGGATGTCCAGGGTATTGTGGCGGGTTGTCTTGGGGCGGGTTGTCTTTGTGGCGAGTTGTCTGGACCCCGAAAAATATTTCATAGATTGTTTTGAGGAGCCAATTTTAATGTAGGCTTGAACTTACCAAACTGTACCATAGGAACAAATCTCCTGATTTAGGGGGTGTTGTTCACATGAAATCAAGAGTTATGAGAACCTTCAAGGCATTAATAGCAAATGCATATTTCTGGGTATTATTAATTTCAGTGTAAGTAGGAATATGAGTTATGAATGCAAACAGATTGCAATCCCTTTAAAGAGTACATATAGAATTTAAAACAATCGTTCTTTATTATCCTGTCGATAGACAATTTAATGTGTTCTTTTTTCTTAATAGACAAGAATTGAATTTGAAAATGAAAACTATTTCATCATTTGTTTAGAATGTTATCTTGAATGCAAGTATGTAACTATTGGAATTTGTGTAAAATGTAAGAAGACAGTGTGAAATTAGTAAATAAGATATATCTACTCAAGACGTGCTGATTAACTATATTCACCATGAATGCAGGTCCAGACTCTCGACCTGACTAATCACCAGTGTCCCACACCCTCCTCGTCACATCACCTATCAGAGGCACTGTGTTCTATGCCACACTTGACTGACTTGAGACTCTATGAAGGGGATTTACGTGAGGAGTTCTACTCTACATTGAAAGCAAAGGCATCATCCATAAAGGTATGTGTGTACTAATGTATCTGCATATAGTGACGGTCATTGGTAGAAAGAAAGATCAGTAATGGTTATATTGCATGGTGCACATGTATATAAGTTGCATTTTCCAAACACTCTTTTTAAAGGCCATTTACCTGGTATATTGGAATAGCCATGAATAATGAAATGAAAGCAAACTACACATGTACTGATTACATTGAAATTGAAGTGTGTATAAGTTTGACATTTTTTCGACCACGTAACATTATCCAACCTTTTCCTACTTTGATTGATATGAAAAATATTTCATAGATTGTTTTGAGAAGCCAATTTTAATGTAGGCTTGAACTTACCAAACTGTACCATAGGAACAAATCTCCTGATTTAGGGGGTGTTGTTCACATGAAATCAAGAGTTATGAGAACCTTCAAGGCATTAATAGCAAATGCATATTTCTGGGTATTATTAATTTCAGTGTAAGTAGGAATATGAGTTATGAATGCAAACAGATTGCATTCCCTTTAAAGAGTACATATAGAATTTAAAACAATCGTTCTTTATTATCCTGTCGATAGACAATTTAATGTGTTCTTTTTTCTTAATAGACAAGAATTGAATTTGAAAATGAAAACTATTTCATCATTTGTTTAGAATGTTATCTTGAATGCAAGTATGTAACTATTGGAATTTGTGTAAAATGTAAGAAGACAGTGTGAAATTAGTAAATAAGATATATCTACTCAAGACGTGCTGATTAACTATATTCACCATGAATGCAGGTCCAGACTCTCAACCTGACTAATCACCAGTGTCCCACACCCTCCTCGTCACATCACCTATCAGAGGCACTGTGTTCTATGCCACACTTGACTGACTTGACACTCGATGGAGGGGATTTACGTGAGGAGTTCTACTCTAAATTGAAAGCAAAGGCATCATCCATAAAGGTATGTGTGTACTAATGTATCTGCATATAGTGACGGTCATTGGTAGAAAGAAAGATCAGTAATGGTTATATGCCATGGTGCGCATGTATATATGTTGCATTTTCCAAACACTCTTTTTAAAGGCCATTTACCTGGTATATTGGAATAGCCATGAATAATGAAATGAAAGCAAACTACACATGTACTGATTACATTGAAATTGAAGTGTGTATAAGTTTGACATTTTTTCGACCACTAAACAATATCCAACCTTTTCCTACTTTGATTGATATGTAAAATATTTCATAGATTGTTTTGAGGAGCCAATTTTAATGTAGGCTTGAACTTACCAAACTGTACCATAGGAACAAATCTCCTGATTTAGGGGGTGTTGTTCACATGAAATCAAGAGTTATGAGAACCTTTTTTTTTTTTTTTTTTTTTTTTTGTGTGCACCTCTATAGGTAGCCTCTCTCAATTTGAGCTCTGTAATTTGTTTCATTTTTCACCAATTTTGGTTGGATTTAGTATTTGTATTTTCAACATTGTGTTTGATATTGGTCAAGGAGCAGAGGTAATCAATTTGTAAGGTGTATTTTGGTGTGAATTTGCAGTATTTCTGTTAAGTTTAATGTTTGATGTTCTTGTTCAATTTTACTGTACAGGCATGTGCATTAAGCTTTACTGGTACTTTGCTTGTATACCATTTGAATGTACTGACATTCACAATAGTCTCTTTTGTATGCTCCTTTTGTGTAAGCTATTCCTGCTTGTACAATGGATGGAAAGCCATTGAAAGTGTTGTTTTCTATAAGGCTTGTTATTTCTATTCTGTACACTTTGAATCAGCCCTATATAACCAAGGAATGTTTCACTTGTACTGGCTCACACATGAAGAGCCTCCACTGTAAACATCTCAAATATTGTAGTCAACCTATACTATACTACTGTAATTCGACAGCTACATTTCGATGTCTCCTTAATTCTGGAGATATCCAGCCCAATCCTGGTCCAGTGAATCGCACTGAGAATGTTTCCAATATTGGCCATACCAACTCACCTCCTTATTCAGCTGATTGTACAGCTTTACATATTTCATACAACTTGAATGATCTCCATCAGATTAATAACCAGCCGCTTAATTTACTACCCATGAATGTTTGGAGCAGGATCTGCGATCTTGGCATCGGTCGCCGACGTCGAACTCATCGCGGACGTGGGCGGCGTACGATACCAGGGCCGGATTTCCCTCCACCAATGTCGGTATCATCCAATAGCCTCAAACTTGGCCTTTGGAATGCACGTTCCATGACCAATAAAACACACATAATTACTGATTTGATTGTTGAACATGATCTAGATGTTCTAGTCATCACCGAGTCGTGGCTCTCTGGAGACAGTGAGAGGGATGGTCTCATATTAGCTGATCTAAGATCTGGTTTGCCTAATTATGATTTCACCCATCGACCCCGGTTATCTTCCAAGGGCGGTGGGATTTTGCTTCTCTATAGATCCACGGCTCGCTGTACCTTGAACAACAACAATGATTTTGCATCTTTTGAATTACTGGATGTCACACTCAATCTGACACCTTCATCTGCTGTAAGGTTGTACTGTATTTATCGACCACCCCCGTCTGCCAATAATAATCTCTCCAACGGCACATTCTTGGATGAATTTCCAACTCTCCTTGAAGGTGCTGTTGTAGATGATCATTTTCCTCTATTATTGGGTGATTTCAACATACATGTTGATGATCCCAATGATTATTTTGCAAAATCTGTTATGACATGTGTTGATTCGTTAGGGTTCAAGCAACATGTTCGTGAACCAACCCATCGCGCAGGTCACACTCTAGATTTGATTTTCACAAGGAATTTGGATGATGTCTGCAACGTGAACTCGCTATCTTCCATGCCTTCCGACCATTGTGCACTTGTCACCACTGTCAATATCGCAAGGCCGAAGAATCCCAAGAAAGAGGTTTCCTTCAGGAAATATCGCAGCATTGACAAGGACTCTCTACGCAACTCTATTGACACAATGTTCCATTCACTTCCTGATCTATCTTGTCCATCTGCTTCCGCGGAGCATTACAACTCATCTTTGCGGACGTTGATTGATGAGCACGCTCCAATCCAGGTCAAGACTGTATCAATCAGACCTGATGCGCCATGGTTTACCGATGATATCCAGGAAGCCAAGAGGCGAAGGCGTCGTGCGGAACGTCGTTCGATCAAGTCTGGACTTTTGATAGAGAGCTGTACCGCCGTGAATGCGAGTCATATTATGAGTGCATCTTCAATGCGAAGTCAGCGTATCTCAAAGATCTCATCAAGAATGCTGACACTAAAGAACTGTTTCGTCTTGTGAAGACACTCTCAACGCCCACTCAATCTTCACCTCTTCCAGATCATTCTTCTGATAGTGAACTCGCCAACAGATTTGCTACATTCTTCAGGGAAAAAGTCGCCAAAGTTGTATCCTCTTTCCCTAATGTAGTACCAGCACCAGCTTCAAGATCTTTTGCTCCAGGCCCTCGTCATGAACTCTCTGATTTCTGCCTTGTATCCCTCTCACAAGTCAGGAAGCTCATCACTTCACTTCCTTCTAAACACTGTAAGCTAGATCCGATTCCTACCTGGCTTCTAAAGGAAGTCCTCGATGAACTCCTTCCTCACATAACCAAACTGTTCAATCTCTCGTTATCATCCGGAATAGTTCCAGAGTCTTTTAAGACTTCTCTGCTTCTTCCCCTCCTAAAGAAGCCGAGTCTCGACACGAATAGACTTAAGAACTACAGGCCCATCGCAAACCTGCCATTCCTTGGGAAGGTTTTGGAACGTATTGTGTCACTACAGCTGAAAGCCCACATTGACAATCTCGGTTTGTTTCCAATCCACCAATCTGCCTATCGGAATCATCATTCTACTGAGACTGCAACTGTCAAGGTCCTAAATGACCTACTTCTAGCTGTAGATAAGGGTAATGAAGCTGTCCTCATCTTGCTTGATTACATTGCCGCATTTGACACTATCAACCACGACCTGTTACTCCATCGCTTAGAGAACGACTTCTCCATCCCCGGCACCGTACTTCAGTGGATTCGCTCTTATCTCATGCACCGAACTCGAAGGTGATCATCAATGACACCAACTCTGAATCATTTCCCCTCATCTGCGGCGTTCCTCAGGGTTCCGTGGTCGGCCCCCTCCTGTTTATTCTTTACACCAGCCCTCTCTCAAATGTTATTAACCTTCATCAGAATATTCAACACACTATGTATGCAGACGACACCCAGATTTATGTAACTCTTCACCCAAACAGCAGGACAGTAGCCGCGAACAAACTCACCAGTTGCCTCAATGAAATCAAAACCTGGTCTTTTCAAAACTGTCTCTGCCTTAATGATTCAAAATCTGAAATGATTCATATTACTTCTAAATTTCGGAACTCAGACCCCTTTCCTGATCTTGTTATGAGTGATGGCTCTCTCAGTTGTTGTGCTTCTGTGCGTGACCTTGGTTTAAATATCAACAGCAATCTTACTTTCAAACAACACATTAGTAATATTTGTAAGTCTGCTTCCTTTGGTATATATAAGATCAGTAGAATCAGGAGGCTACTTGACCGACCCACAACTTCAAAATTAGTCCATGCTTTTATCTCGACCCATATCGATTACTGTAATTCTTCTCTTTCTGGCCTCCCTCAGTCACATCTAGTCCCACTTCAAAGGGTACAGAATAGCGCTGCTCGGCTTGTGACTCTCTCGCGTAAATCAGAGCACATAACTCCAATATTGAACTCACTACATTGGCTTAAAATTCACCACCGCATATCCTTCAAAATTCTTCTCCTGTGCTACAAAGCTATCAATGGCTTAGCCCCCTCTTACCTTTCCGATCTCATATCCTTACGTTCCCGTACGTCGTCACGAACACTTCGTTCATCTTCCACATTACTGTTAACACCTGGACCCCGCACTAACACTCGGTATGGTGACCGTGCCTTTTCAGTTATTGCCCCCGCTCTCTGGAACAAACTGCCCGCCTTTATTCACTGCGCCCCCTCTGTATCTCAATTCAAATCTCTACTCAAAACCTATCTTTTCAAATTGTAAATTGCAGTTGTGCGTCGGTCAATGGAGGTGCGCACCATATTTGTCTTTATTTAGTTGATTGCCACTGTTTTTCTTACCTTATCTATGTTACTTTTGTATTTTTGCTTTTTCTTCTAATTTAATTCTACGGGTTATAGTCTTCTCTTAATCAGAACACTGTGCGCTTAGAAACATCAGTATTAAGCGCCTAATAAATGTTATGTATTATTATTATTATTATTATTAACCTTCAAGGCATTAATAGCAAATGCACGTTTCTGGATATTATTAATTTCAGTGTAAGTAGGAATATGACTTATAAATGCAAACAGATTGCAATCTCTCTAAAGAATATATATAGAATTTAAAACAATCACTCTTAGTATTTAGGGCGTCTTGTGCACATAAAATCGAGAGTTATAAAAACCTTTAATGCATCAACAGCAAATGCATATTTCTGGGTATTTTTAATTTCAGTGTAAGTAGGAATATGACTTATATATGCAAACAGATTGCAATCCCTCTAAAGAGTACATATAGAATTTAAAACAATCGTTCTTTATTATCCTGTCGATAGACAATTTAATGTGTTCTTTTTTCTTAATAGACAAGAATTGAATTTGAAAATAAAAACTATTTAATCATTTGTTTAGAATGTTATCTTGAATGCAAGTATGTAACTATTGGAATTTGTGTAAAATGTAAGAAGACAGTGAGAAATTAGTTAATAAGATATATCTAGTCAGGCGTACTGGTTAATTATACGATGGAGGGGATTTACGTGAGGAGTTCTACTCTACATGGAAAGCAAACGCACCATCCATGAAGGTATGTGTTACTAATTTAACTGCATCGAGACGGTCATTGGAAGACAGAAAGAGCAGTACTGGTTATATGCCATTGGTGCACATGTACATATGTTGCATTTTCCAAACACTCTTTTTTAAAGGCCATTTACTTTCTATATTGGAATAGCCATGAATAAGGAAATGAAAGCAAACTACACATGTACTGATTACGTTGAAATTTAAGTGTGTATAAGTTTGACATTCTTTTCTAATAATAAACAATATCCAACCTTTTTATATTTTGATTTATATGAAAAAAAATTCATAGAGTGTTTTGAGGAGCCAACTTTAATGTGGGCTTGAACTTACCAAACTGTACCATAGCAACAAACCTCCTGATTTAGGGGGTCTTGTGCACATGAAATCGAAAGTTATGAGTACCTTTAATGCATTAATAGCAAATGCATATTTCTGGGTAATGTTAATTTCAGTGTAAATAGGAATATGACTTATAAATGCAAACAGATTGCAATCCCTCTAAAGAATACATATATAATTTAAAACAATCGTTCTTTATTATCCTGTCGATAGACACTTTAATGTGTTCTTTTTTCTGAATAGACAAGAATTGAATTTGAAAATAAAAACTATTTCATCATTTGTTTAGAATGTTATCTTGAATGCAAGTATGTAATCAATGGAATTTGTGTAAAATGTAAGAATACAGTGAGAAATTAGTAAAGAAGATATATCTATTCAAGACGTACTGGTTAACTATATTCACCATGAATGCAGGTCCAGATTCTCGTGCTGATTAGTCACAAGTGTCCCACACCAGCCTCATCACATCACCTATCAGAGGCACTGTGTTCTATGCCAAACTTGACTGACTTGACACTCTTTGGAGGGGATTTACGTGAGGAGTTCTACTCTACATGGAACGCAAAGGCATCATCCATACAGGTATGTGTGAACTAATTTTACTGCATGGAGACGGTCATTGGAAGACAGAAAGAGCAGCAATGGTCATATGCCATGGTGCACATGTACATATGTTGCATTTTCCAAACACTCTTCTTGAAAGGCCATTTACTTTCTATATTGGAATAGCCATGAATAATGAAATGAAAGCAGACTACACATGTACTGATTACGTTGAAATTTAAGTTTGTATAAGTTTGACATCTTTTTCGAACAATAAACAATATCCAACCTTTTCCTAGTTTGATTGATATGAAAAATATTTCAGGGATTGTTTTGAGGAGCCAATTTCAATGTAGACTTGAACTTACCAAACTGTACCAAAGCAACAAACCTCCTGATTTAGGGCGTCTCGTGCACATGAAATCGAAAGTTATGAGTACCTTTAATGCATTAATAGCAAATGCATATTTCTGGGTATTATTAATTTCAGTGTAAGTAGGAATATGACTTATAAATGCAAACAGATTGCAATCCCTCTAAAGAATACATATAGAATTTAAAAACGATCACTCTTAGTATTTAGGGCGTCTTGTGTACATAAAATTGAGAGTTATAAGAACCTTTAATGCATTAATAGCAAATGCATATTTCTGGGTAATGTTAATTTCAGTGTAAGTAGGAATATGACTTATAAATGCAAACAGATTGCAATCCCTCTAAAGAATACATATATAATTTAAAACAATCGTTCTTTATTATCCTGTCGATAGACACTTTAATGTGTTCTTTTTTCTGAATAGACAAGAATTGAATTTGAAAATAAAAACTATTTCATCATTTGTTTAGAATGTTATCTTGAATGCAAGTATGTAATCAATGGAATTTGTGTAAAATGTAAGAATACAGTGAGAAATTAGTAAAGAAGAAATATCTATTCAAGACGTACTGCTTAACTATATTCACCATGAATGCAGGTCCAGATTCTCGTGCTGATTAGTCACAAGTGTCCCACACCAGCCTCATCACATCACCTATCAGAGGCACTGTGTTCTATGCCAAACTTGACTGACTTGACACTCGATGGAGGGGATTTACGTGAGGAGTTCTACTCTACATGGAACGCAAAGGCATCATCCATACAGGTATGTGTGAACTAATTTTACTGCATGGAGACGGTCATTGGAAGACAGAAAGATCAGTAATGGTTATATGCCATGGTGCACATGTATATAAGTTCCATATTCAAAACACCCTTTTTTAAAGGCCATTTACTTTGTATATTGGAATAGCCATGAATAATGAAATGAAAGCAAACTACACATGTACTGATTACGTTAAAAATTTAAGTGTGTATAAGTTTGACTTTTTTTTTAAACCAATAAACAATATCCAAACTTTTTTTAGTTTGATTGACATGAAAAACATTTAATAGATTTTTTTAAAGAGTAAATTTCAATGTAGACTTGAACTTACCAAACTGTACCATAGCAACAAACCTCCTGATTTAGGGGGTCTTGTGCACATGAAATCGAGAGTTATGAGTACCTTTAATGCATTAATAGCAAATGCATATTTCTGGGTGTTATTAATTTCAGTGTTAGTAGGAATATGACTTATCAATGCAAACGGATTTGCAAGCCCTATAAAGAATACAAATAGATTTTTTTTTAAATCACTCTTAGTAAATTATCCTTTCGATTGACACTTTAATGTGTTCTTTTTTCTAAATTGACGAGAATTGAATTTGAAAATAAAAACTATTTCATCATTTGTTTAGAATGTTATCTTGAATGCAAGTATGTAATTAATGGAATTTGTGTAAAATGTAAGAATACAGTGAGAAATTAGTAAATAAGATATATCTATTCAAGATGTACTGCTTAACTATATTCACCATGAATACAGGTCAAGTCTCTCAAGCTGACTTATCACAAGTGTCCCACACCAGCCTCATCACATCACCTATCAGAGGCACTGTGTTCTATGCCACACTTGACTGACTTGACACTCCATGGAGGGGATTTACGTGAGGAGTTCTACTCTACATTGAAAACAAAGGCATCATCAATACAGGTTTGTGTGTACTAATTTAACTGCATCGAGACGGTCATTGGAAGACAGAAAGAGCAGTACTGGTTATATGCCATGGTGCACATGTACATATGTTGCATTTTCCAAACACTCTTTTTTAAAGGCCATTTACTTTCTATATTGGAATAGCCATGAATAAGGAAATGAAAGCAAACTACACATGTACTGAGTACGTTGAAATTTAAGTGTGTAAAAGTTTGACATTCTTTTCTAATAATAAACAATATCCAACCTTTTTATATTTTGATTTATATGAAAAAAAATTCATAGAGTGTTTTGAGGAGCCAACTTTAATGTGGGTTTGAACTTACCAAACTGTACCATAGCAACAAACCTCCTGATTTAGGGGGTCTTGTGCACATGAAATCGAAAGTTATGAGTACCTTTAATGCATTAATAGCAAATGCATATTTCTGGGTATTATTAATTTCAGTGTAAGTAGGAATATGACTTATAAATGCAAACAGATTGCAATCCCTCTAAAGAATACATAAAGAATTAAAAAAAATCACTCTTAGTAAATTACCCTGTCGATAGACACTTTAATGTGTTCTTTTTTCTGATTAGACGAGAATTGAATTTGAAAATAAAAATTATTTCATCATTTGTTTAGAATATTATCTTGAATGCAAGTATGTAATTAATGGAATCTGTGTAAAATGTAAGAATATAGTGAGAAATGAGTAAATAAGATATATCTATTCAAGACGTACTGCTTAACTATATACACCATGAATGCAGATCCAGACTCTCGAGCTTGATTATCACGAGTGCCCCACACCAGCCTCATCACATCACCTATCAGAAGCACTGTGTTCTATGCCAAACTTGACTAACTTGACACTCGAAGGAGGAGATTTAGGGGAGGAGTTCCACTCTACATTGAAAGCAAAGGCATCATCAATACAGGTATGTGTGTACTAATGTAACTGCATGGTGACGGTCATTGGAAGACAGAAAGAGCAGCAATGGTCATATGCCATGGTGCACATGTACATATGTTGCATTTTCCAAACACTCTTTTTTAAAGGCCATTTACTTTCTATATTGAAATAGCCATGAATAATGAAATGAAAGCAGACTACACATGTACTGATTACGTTGAAATTTAAGTTTGTATAAGTTTGACATCTTTTTCGAACAATAAACAATATCCAACCTTTTCCTAGTTTGATTGATATGAAAAATATTTCGGGGATTGTTTTGAGGAGCCAATTTCAATGTAGACTTGAACTTACCAAACTGTACCAAAGCAACAAACCTCCTGATTTAGGGCGTCTCGTGCACATGAAATCGAAAGTTATGAGTACCTTTAATGCATTAATAGCAAATGCATATTTCTGGGTATTATTAATTTCAGTGTAAGTACGAATACGACTTATTAATGCAAACAGATTGCAATCCCTCTAAAGCATTCATAAAGAATTTAAAAAAATCACTCTTAGTAAATTACCCTGTCGATAGACACTTTAATGTGTTCTTTTTTCTGATTAGACGAGAATTGAATTTGAAAATAAAAATTATTTCATCATTTGTTTAGAATATTATCTTGAATGCAAGTATGTAATTACTGGAATCTGTGTAAAATGTAAGAATACAGTGAGAAATTAGTAAATAAGATATATTTATTAAAGACACACTGGTTAACTATATTCACCATGAATGCAGGTCAAGACTCTCAAGCTTCATTTCGTCGAGTGTCCCACACCAGCGTCATCACATCACCTATCAGAGGCACTGTGTTCTATGCCAAACTTGACTGACTTGACACTCTTTCGAGGGGATTTACGTGAGGAGTTCTACTCTACATGGAAAGCAAACGCACCATCCATAAAGGTATGTGTGTACTAATGTAACTGCATGGAGACGGTCATTGGAAGACAGAAAGAGCAGTAATGGTTATATGCCATGGTGCACATGTACATATGTTGCATTTTCCAAACACTCTTTTTTAAAGGCCATTTACTTTCTATATTGGAATAGCCATGAATAATGAAATAAAAGCACACTACACATGTACTGATTACGTTGAAATTTAAGTGTGTATAAGTTTGACATTCTTTTCTATTAATGAACAATATCCAACCTTTTTATATATTGATTTATATGAAAAAAAATTCATAGAGTGTTTTGAGGAGCCAACTTTAATGTGGGCTTGAACTTACCAAACTGTACCATAGCAACAAACCTCCTGATTTAGGGGGTCTTGTGCACATGAAATCGAAAGTTATGAGTACCTTTAATGCAATAATAGCAAATGCATATTTCTGGGTATTATTGATTTCAGTGTAAGTACGAATATGACTTATTAATGCAAACAGTTTGCAATCCCTCTAAAGAATACATAAAGAATTAAAAAAAATCACTCTTAGTAAATTACCCTGTCGATAGACACTTTAATGTGTTCTTTTTTTTTATTAGACGAGAATTGAATTTGAAAATAAAAATTATTTCATCATTTGTTTAGAATATTATCTTGAATGCAAGTATGTAATTAATGGAATCTGTGTAAAATGTAAGAATATAGTGAGAAATTAGTAAATAAGATATATCTATTCAAGACGTACTGCTTAACTATATTCACCATGAATGCAGATCCAGACTCTCGAGCTTGATTATCACGAGTGCCCCACACCAGCCTCATCACATCACCTATCAGAAGCACTGTGTTCTATGCCAAACTTGACTAACTTGACACTCGAAGGAGGAGATTTAGGGGAGGAGTTCTACTCTACATGGAAAGCAAAGGCATCATCAATACAGGTATGTGTGTACTAATGTAACTGCATGGTGACGGTCATTGGAAGACAGAAAGAGCAGCAATGGTCATATGGTGCACATGTACATATGTTGCATTTTCCAAACACTCTTTTTTAAAGGCCATTTACTTTCTATATTGGAATAGCCATGAATAATGAAATGAAAGCAGACTACACATGTACTGATTACGTTGAAATTTAAGTTTGTATAAGTTTGACATCTTTTTCGAACAATAAACAATATCCAACCTTTTCCTAGTTTGATTGATATGAAAAATATTTCGGGGATTGTTTTGAGGAGCCAATTTCAATGTAGACTTGAACTTACCAAACTGTACCAAAGCAACAAACCTCCTGATTTAGGGCGTCTCGTGCACATGAAATCGAAAGTTATGAGTACCTTTAATGCATTAATAGCAAATTCATATTTCTGGGTATTATTAATTTCAGTGTAAGTAGGAATATGACTTATAAATGCAAACAGATTGCAATCCCTCTAAAGAATACATATAGAATTTAAAAACGATCACTCTTAGTATTTAGGGCGTCTTGTGTACATAAAATTAAGAGTTATAAGAACCTTTAATGCATTAATAGCAAATGCGTATTTCTGGGTAATGTTAATTTCAGTGTAAGTAGGAATATGACTTATAAATGCAAACAGATTGCAATCCCTCTAAAGAATACATATATAATTTAAAACAATCGTTCTTTATTATCCTGTCGATAGACACTTTAAAGTGTTCTTTTTTCTGAATAGACAAGAATTGAATTTGAAAATAAAAACTATTTCATCATTTGTTTAGAATGTTATCTTGAATGCAAGTATGTAATCAATGGAATTTGTGTAAAATGTAAGAATACAGTGAGAAATTAGTAAAGAAGATATATCTATTCAAGACGTACTGCTTAACTATATTCACCATGAATGCAGGTCCAGATTCTCGTGCTGATTAGTCACAAGTGTCCCACACCAGCCTCATCACATCACCTATCAGAGGCACTGTGTTCTATGCCAAACTTGACTGACTTGACACTCTGTGGAGGGGATTTACGTGAGGAGTTCTACTCTACATGGAACGCAAAGGCATCATCCATACAGGTATGTGTGAACTAATTTTACTGCATGGAGACGGTCATTGGAAGACAGAAAGATCAGTAATGGTTATATGCCATGGTGCACATGTATATAAGTTCCATATTCAAAACACCCTTTTTTAAAGGCCATTTACTTTGTATATTGGAATAGCCATGAATAATGAAATGAAAGCAAACTACACATGTACTGATTACGTTGAAATTTAAGTGTGTATAAGTTTGACTTTTTTTTTAAACCAATAAACAATATCCAAACTTTTTTTAGTTTGATTGACATGAAAAACATTTAATAGATTTTTTTAAAGAGCAAATTTTAATGTAGACTTGAACTTACCAAACTGTACCATAGCAACAAACCTCCTGATTTAGGGGGTCTTGTTCACATGAAATCGAGAGTTATGAGTACCTTTAATGCATTAATAGCAAATGCATATTTCTGGGTGTTATTAATTTCAGTGTTAGTAGGAATATGACTTATCAATGCAAACGGATTTGCAAGCCCTATAAAGAATACAAATAGATTTTTTTTTAAATCACTCTTAGTAAATTATCCTTTCGATTGACACTTTAATGTGTTCTTTTTTCTAAATAGACGAGAATTGAATTTGAAAATAAAAACTATTTCATCATTTGTTTAGAATGTTATCTTGAATGCAAGTATGTAATTAATGGAATTTGTGTAAAATGTAAGAATACAGTGAGAAATTAGTAAATAAGATATATTTATTAAAGACACACTGGTTAACTATATTCACCATGAATGCAGGTCAAGACTCTCAAGCTTCATTTCGTCGAGTGTCCCACACCAGCGTCATCACATCACCTATCAGAGGCACTGTGTTCTATGCCACACTTGACTGACTTGACACTCCATGGAGGGGATTTACGTGAGGAGTTCTACTCTACATTGAAAGCAAAGGCATCATCCATACAGGTTTGTGTGTACTAATTTAACTGCATCGAGACGGTCATTGGAAGACAGAAAGGGCAGTACTGGTTATATGCCATGGTGCACATGTACATATGTTGCATTTTCCAAACACTCTTTTTTAAAGGCCATTTACTTTCTATATTGGAATAGCCATGAATAAGGAAATGAAAGCAAACTACACATGTACTGATTACGTTAAAATTTAAGTGTGTATAAGTTTGACATTCTTTTCTAATAATAAACAATATCCAACCTTTTTATATTTTGATTTATATGAACAAAAATTCATAGAGTGTTTTGAGGAGCCAACTTAAATGTGGGCTTGAACTTACCAAACTGTACCATAGCAACAAACCTCCTGATTTTGGGGGTCTTGTGCACATGAAATCGAAAGTTATGAGTACCTTTAATGCATTAATAGCAAATGCATATTTCTGGGTATTATTAATTTCAGTGTAAGTACGAATACGACTTATTAATGCAAACAGATTGCAATCCCTCTAAAGCATTCATAAAGAATTTAAAAAAATCTCTCTTAGTAAATTACCCTGTCGATAGACACTTTAATGTGTTCTTTTTTCTGATTAGACAAGAATTGAATTTGAAAATAAAAATTATTTCATCATTTGTTTAGAATATTATCTTGAATGCAAGTATGTAATTACTGGAATCTGTGTAAAATGTAAGAATACAGTGAGAAATTAGTAAATAAGATATATTTATTAAAGACACACTGGTTAACTATATTCACCATGAATGCAGGTCAAGACTCTCAAGCTTCATTTCGTCGAGTGTCCCACACCAGCGTCATCACATCACCTATCAGAGGCACTGTGTTCTATGCCAAACTTGACTGACTTGACACTCTTTCGAGGGGATTTACGTGAGGAGCTCTACTCTACATGGAAAGCAAACGCACCATCCATAAAGGTATGTGTGTACTAATGTAACTGCATGGAGACGGTCATTGGAAGACAGAAAGAGCAGTAATGGTTATATGCCATGGTGCACATGTACATAAGTTGCATTTTCCAAACAATCTTTTTTTAAAGGCCATTACCTTGTTATATTGGAATAGCCATAAATAATGAAATAAAAGCAGACTACACATGTACTGATTACGTTGAAATTTAAGTTTGTATAAGTTTAACATCTTTTTCGAACAATAAACAATATCCAACCTTTTCTTAGTTTGATTGATATGAAAAATATTTTGTGGATTGTTTTGAGGAGCCAATTTCAATGTAGGCTTGAACTTACCTAACTGTACCAAAGCAACAAACCTCCTGATTTAGGGCGTCTTGTGCAGATCAAATCGAGAGTTATGAGTACCTTTAATGCATTAATAGCAAATGCATATTTCTGGGTATTTTTAATTTCAGTGTAAATAGGAATATGACTTATCAATGCAAACAGATTGCAATCCCTCTAAAGAATACATATATTATTTAAAACAATCGTTCTTTATTTTCCTGTCGATAGACACTTTAATGTGTTCTTTTTTCTGAATAGACAAGAATTGAATTTGAAAATAAAAACTATTTCATCATTTGTTTAGAATATTACCTTGAATGCAAGTATGTAATGAAAGGAATTTGTGTAAAATGTACAAATACAGTGAGAAATTAGTAAATAAGATATGTCTATTCAAGACGTACTGGTTAATTATATCCACCATGAATGCAGGTCAAGACTCTCAACCTGACTAATCACCAGTGTCTCACACCAGCCTCGTCACAACACCTATCAGAGGAACTGTGTTCTATGCCAAACTTAACTGGCTTGACACTCGATAGAGGGGATTTACGTGAGGAGTTCTACTCTACATGGAAAGCAAACGCATCATCCATAAAGGTATGTGTGTACTAATGTAACTGCACGGTGACGGTCATTGGTAGACAGAAAGATCAGTAATGGTTATATGCCATGGTGCGCATGTATATATGTTGCATTTTCCAAACACTCTTTTTAAAGGCCATTTACTTGGTATATTGGAATAGCCATGAATAAGGAAATGAAAGCAAACTACACATGTACTGATTACATTGAAATTTAAGTGAGTATAAGTTTGACATTTTTCGACCAATAAACAGTATCCAACTTTTTTCCTAGTTTGGTTGATATGAAAAATATTTCATAGATTGTTTTGAGGAGCCAGTTTTAATGTAGGCTTGAACTTACCAAACTGTACCATAGCAACAAACCTCCTGATTTAGGGCGTCTTGTGCACATGAAATCGAGAGTTATAAGAACCTTTAATGCATTAATAGCAAATGCATATTTCTGGGTATTATTAATTTCAGTGTAAGTAGGAATATGACTTATAAATGCAAACAGATTGCAATCCCTTTAAAGAATATATATAGAATTTAAAACAATCACTCTTAGTATTTAGGGCGTCTTGTGTACATAAAATCGAGAGTTATAAGAACCTTTAATGCATTAATAGCAAATGCATATTTCTGGGTATTATTAATTTCAGTGTAAGTAGGAATATGACTTATAAATGCAAACAGATTGCAATCCCTCTAAAGAGTACATATATAATTTAAAACAATCGTTCTTTATTATCCTGTCGATAGACACTTTAATGTGTTTTTTTTCTTCTGAATAGACAAGAATTGAATTTGAAAATAAAAACGATTTCATCATTTGTTTAGAATGTTATTTTGAATGCAAGTATGTAATTAATGGAATTTGTGTAAAATGAAAGAAGACAGTGAGAAATTAGTAAATAAGATATGTCTATTCAAGACGTACTGGTTAATTATATCCACCATGAATGCAGGTCAAGACTCTCAACCTGACTAATCACCAGTGTCTCACACCAGCCTCGTCACAACACCTATCAGAGGCACTGTGTTCTATGCCAAACTTGACTGACTTGACACTCGATGGAGGGGATTTACGTGAGGAGTTCTACTCTACATGGAAAGCAAACGCATCATCCATAAAGGTATGTGTGTACTAATGTAACTGCATGGTGACGGTCATTGGCAGACAGAAAGATCAGTAATGGTTATATGCCATGGTGCACATGTATATAAGTTGCATTTTCCAAACACTCTTTTTAAAGGCCATTTACTTGGTATATTGGAATAGCCATGAATAAGGAAATGAAAGCAAACTACACATTTACTGATTACATTGAAATTTAAGTGAGTATAAGTTTGACATTTTTCGACCAATAAACAGTATCCAACTTTTCCTAGTTTGATTGATATGAAAAATATTTCATAGATTGTTTTGAGGAGCCAGTTTTAATGTAGGCTTGAACTTACCAAACTGTACCATAGCAACAAACCTCCTGATTTAGGGCGTCTTGTGCACATGAAATCGAGAGTTATAAGAACCTTTAATGCATTAATAGCAAATGCATATTTCTGGGTATTATTAATTTCAGTGTAAGTAGGAATATGACTTATAAATGCAAACAGATTGCAATCCCTTTAAAGAATATATATAGAATTTAAAACAACCACTCTTAGTATTTAGGGCGTCTTGTGTACATAAAATCGAGAGTTATAAGAACCTTTAATGCATTAATAGCAAATGCATATTTCTGGGTATTATTAATTTCAGTGTAAGTAGGAATATGACTTATAAATGCAAACAGATTGCAATCCCTCTAAAGAGTACATATATAATTTAAAACAATCGTTCTTTATTATCCTGTCGATAGACACTTTAATGTGTTTTTTTTCTTCTGAATAGACAAGAATTGAATTTGAAAATAAAAACTATTTCATCATTTGTTTAGAATGTTATTTTGAATGCAAGTATGTAATTAATGGAATTTGTGTAAAATGTAAGAAGACAGTGAGAAATTAGTAAATAAAATATATCTATTCAAGACGTACTGGTTAACTATATTCACCATGAATGCAGGTCCAGACTCTCAACCTGACTAATCACCAGTGTCTCACACCAGCCTCGTCACAACACCTATTAGAGGCACTGTGTTCTATGCCAAACTTGACTGACTTGACACTCGATGGAGGGGATTTACGTGAGGAGTTCTACTCTACATGGAAAGCAAACGCATCATCCATAAAGGTATGTGTGTACTAATGTAACTGCATGGTGACGGTCATTGGCAGACAGAAAGATCAGTAATGGTTATATGCCATGGTGCACATGTATATAAGTTGCATTTTCCAAACACTCTTTTTAAAGGCCATTTACTTGGTACATGTATATTGGAATAGCCATGAATAATGAAATGAAAGCAAACTACACATGAACTGATTACATTGAAATTCAAGTGTGTATAAGTTGATATTTTTTCGACCAATAAACAATATCCAACCTTTTCCTAGTTTGATTCATATGAAAAATATTTCATAGATTGTTTTGAGGAGCCAATTTTAAAGGTAATACAAAGTTTTGGGAATATTTCATCAGGATTGGATCATGAAATTTAAAATTTGCATTACTATTGTGAAACATAGTGTTAGAACACCCAACTCTAAAAAAATTGGGCTCTAAAAAGCTTTTGATTTGGAGTAATTAAAATTTTTAAAAATAATTTTTTTTACCGGTACTCCCGGTAAATTTGGTATAGCTCCCTCTCAGTTCGAAAATTTACATGCCATCTGAGAGCATAACACATATATAGCACTATTGTCAAAGTGTAATAATTAACATGTTTTGGCACCACATCATATTACCAGACTTAAGCAATATATATAATCATGAAGATAATTATTTTAAAGTCGAGTTGCCATAGTGTAAGATTTTTATACTGTCTCCTAAATTTGAAGAAAAAAAACACTTGTCTGTACACTGTAATCGCAATATATAATTTTATAATCGATCGTACCGCCGCCATCTTTACAGTACTTACGTACGTTAATCTATGTATTTCCTGCGCTGGCTGGAATACTCTGTTCTTTTCAACTCATTTTTCCATTTCCCTCTCTTAATCGTTTCTGTGTTTTCAACTTTGAAATACATTTGTTATTGCTCGACTTTGATAATATTGTTGTTCGCCAGCTCTGTGAACGAACGCACATATTGTATGTATTTTGGTCAAGTCAAGTGGTCGTGATGAACTGCAATGATGATGATCTGGCATTGATCCCTGTGCATGTGTATTAGGCCTGCGTATAGTACATGTTACGTGTGTAGGCCTACGTGTATTATTAGTCTGTGTGTGGATTGGCCTGAAGAATTTCCGAGCACATTTTTTTAGGGATAATCTCAAAATACTCCCCAAAGTCGTTGTACAGGGACAGTTTGGGTAATCATTTATAGACAGAACGTAACATTATTTATTTTGCATTTCTTTATTAAAAGTAAAGAAGATACTTTTAATCTTACAAACGAAGATTAATCAATAATAAGGTTGACTAGACGTTTTCCCGAACATTCGATCATGTGTATACTGCACATTCTTATTTTGAGATCATCCCTTAGTAACTTTACGGGTACGCTGTTTATTCTGACAAAATGACCTCTGGTAGAGGTCATAGAGGTCAGTAATTGTTACACGTGTTATGGGCTAATCTCTCTCCGTATAATTGAATTATATCCTTCGCCTCATGACCATGCACCTAGTACTACTGTAGTAGGTGCATGTAACATTGCATTGACTAGGTCCATGTTATAACACTCTCGCTTGATATTCTCTCTCTCACTCTCTCTATCTCTCTCTCTCTCTCTGTCGCTTCTATATCCCTCTCATCCCCCCCCCCCCCTCTCTCTCTATTTTGTATCTCTCTTTTGTATCCCTCTCTATCCCTTCTTTCCTTTCTCTTTATCTCTCTCTTCTCTCTCGCTATCTTTATTTCTCCCATTTTCTTTCCCTCTCTCTCTCTCTTTATTTCTCTACCCCATACCATTCTACCCTTTCTCTATTCATTTCTCTTTTGATGTATATCTGTCTCTCTCTCTCCCTCTCATCGCATCACCTCGTTCATCCCCTTCTGTATCATATTTCTATATCCATATCACTTGTTAGTCTGTCTCTCTGTCGGTCTGTGACCGTCTGTCTGATGAATGTCTCTCTTTCTTTATCATACACACACCTCTCTCTCTCTCACTTACTATCACCATAGTAGGTCCATGATATCACCCCTTCCACTTTCTTTCGCTCCAACTTTCTCTCTAGAAGTTCTCATTCGCGTGATATAGGACCATATTTCTTTTGTCGGGGTTATGTAAATGAGGGTGATATAAATATATTACAAAGATAATAATTATCATAAATGCGAGAAAACTTCTTTTTCACGTGATAGGACAGTAGTTTTCGGGTGGAGTTCATGACAAGAACAATAATAATCACAAAGACGATAGAAGTTCTCAATCGCGTGATATAGGACCATATTTCTTTTTTTCTCGGGGTTATGTAAATGAGGGTGATATAAAATATGACAACCATAATAATAATCACAAAGACGATAGAAGTCCTCTTTCGCGTGATAGGACCATATTTCTTTTTTCTCGGGGTTATGTAAATGAGGGTGATATAAATATATGACAAAGATAATAATTATCACAAATGCGAGAGAACTTCTCATTCACGTGATAGGACAGTAGTTTTTTGTTGGAGTTCATGACAAGAATAATAATAGTCACAAAGACGATAGAAGTTCTCAATCGCGTGATATAGGACCATATTTCTTTTGTAGGGGTTATGTTAATGAGGGTGATATAAATATATGACAAGAATAATAATAATCACAAAGACGATAGAAGTCCTCTTTCGCGTGATAGGACCATATTTCTTTTTTCTCGGGGTTATGTAAATGAGGGTGATATAAATAAATGACAAAGATAATAATTATCACAAATGCGAGAGAACTTCTCATTCACGTGATATAGGACAGTAGTTTTTGGTTGGAGTTCATGACAAGAATAATAATAATCACGAAGACGATAGAAGTCCTCATTCGCGTAATAGGACCATATTTCTATTTTCGGGGTTATAAATGAGGGTAATATAATTATGAGAAAGATAATAATTATCACAAAAGCGAGTGAAGTTCTCATTCACGTGATACGACAGTAGTTTTTGGGTGGAGTTTATGACAAGAATAATAATAATCACAAAGACGATAGAAGTTCTCATTCGTGTGATAGGACCATATTTCTTTTGTCGGGGTTATGTGAATGAGGGTGATATAAATATATGACAAGAACAATAATAATCACAAAGACGATAGAAGTCCTCATTCGCGTGATAGGACCATATTTCTTTTGTCGGGGTTATGTAAACTATTGAGGGTGAAATAAATATATGACAAAGATAATCATTATCATAAAAACGAGAGAAGTTCGCATTCACGTGATAGGACAGTAGTTTTGGGTTGGAATTTATGACAAGAATAATAATAATCACAAAATCGATAAAAGTCCTCATTCGCGTATTAGGAACATATTTCTTTTGTCGGGGTTATTCAAAATAATGAGGGTGATATAAATATATGACAAAGATAATAATTATCACGAATGCTAGAGAACTTCTCATTCACGTGATACGACAGTAGTTTTTGGTTGGAGTTTATGACAAGAATAATAATAATCACGAAGATTATAGAAGTTCTCATTCGCGTGATAGGACCATATTTCTTTTGTCGGGGTTATGTAAATGAGGGTGATATAAATATATGACAAAAATAATCATTATCATAAAAACGAGAGAAGTTCGCATTCACATGATAGGACCATATTTCTTTTCTCTGGGTTATGTAAATGAGGGTAATATAATTATGACAAAGATAATAATTATCACAAAAGCGAGATAAGTTCTCATTAACGTGATATGACAGTAGTTTTTGGGTGGAGTTTATGACAAGAATACTAATAGAATTAGAATACTAATAATCACAAAGACGATATTAGAAGCTCTCATTCGTGTGATAGGACCATATTTCTTTTGTCGGGGTTATGTAAATGAGGGTGATATAAATATAATGACAACCATAATAATTATCACATATGCGAGAGAACTTCTCATTCACGTGATAGGACAGTAGTTTTTGGTTGGAGTTTATGACAGGAATAATAATAGTCACAAAGACGACAGAAGTTCTCATTCGTGTGAAAGGACCATATTTCTTTTGTCGGGGTTATGTAAATGAGGGTGATATAAATATAATGACAACCATAATAATAATCACAAAGACGATAGAAGTCCTCATTCGCGTGATAGGACCATATTTCTTTTTTCTCGGGGTTATGTAAATGAGGGTGATATAAATAAATGACAAAGATAATAATTATCACAAATGCGAGAGAACTTCTCATTCACGTGATATAGGACAGTAGTTTTTGGTTGGAGTTTATGACAAGAATAATAATAATCACGAAGACGATAGAAGTCCTCATTCGCGTAATAGGACCATATTTCTATTTTCGGGGTTATAAATGAGGGTAATATAATTATGAGAAAGATAATAATTATCACAAAAGCGAGTGAAGTTCTCATTCACGTGATACGACAGTAGTTTTTGGGTGGAGTTTATGACAAGAATAATAATAATCACAAAGACGATAGAAGTTCTCATTCGTGTGATAGGACCATATTTCTTTTGTCGGGGTTATGTGAATGAGGGTGATATAAATATATGACAAGAACAATAATAATCACAAAGACGATAGAAGTCCTCATTCGCGTGATAGGACCATATTTCTTTTGTCGGGGTTATGTAAACTATTGAGGGTGAAATAAATATATGACAAAGATAATCATTATCATAAAAACGAGAGAAGTTCGCATTCACGTGATAGGACAGTAGTTTTGGGTTGGAATTTATGACAAGAATAATAATAATCACAAAATCGATAAAAGTCCTCATTCGCGTATTAGGAACATATTTCTTTTGTCGGGGTTATTCAAAATAATGAGGGTGATATAAATATATGACAAAGATAATAATTATCACGAATGCTAGAGAACTTCTCATTCACGTGATACGACAGTAGTTTTTGGTTGGAGTTTATGACAAGAATAATAATAATCACGAAGATTATAGAAGTTCTCATTCGCGTGATAGGACCATATTTCTTTTGTCGGGGTTATGTAAATGAGGGTGATATAAATATATGACAAAAATAATCATTATCATAAAAACGAGAGAAGTTCGCATTCACATGATAGGACC